CCATTTATTGCGTAATGTAAACTTTCTATGACTCGAGCAATAATGTTTGTCTTGTACTATTTATAACGGAACGTGAGTTGGGAATGAAAACAATATCGGTTTGGAGATTTGCGGAACTCAGAGCTTTAGAAATAGGGATTCTCTTTAATTGTCAGTGACAAACCGTTTTCACGTTGGAGAATACTAACCATTGCAAGTCTTATTGTCTGTTGACGACAGGGTGTAGTGAGTTGGGCAGGAACACACCATTCGTTTGCCTTGTTTAGCCAGGCAAAGGTGGCTGCATCCGCCATTATGCCTGGCACAGGAATTCCATCCTAAATAAACAAGCAAACGTGTTAGGCAAAGCTCACCAGACAAGTTCCAAAATAAACTGGAAACAACTTCTTTAAACTCTTGATTACAGAGAGGTTGTCTAAGGTGCAATTTAGGCATAAAACGCCTTTTAAGTCCTTTGGAAACACCATCAAAAGAAAATAGCAAAAAGTTTACAAATGATGATTCCTGAATTAAAACAAAATTAAACGTGCATTATCTTCACGTGATTCTCCTTTGAACACATCATAAAATTTCTGTCCATTTACATGTAACAGTGCAGTACTGAGATCCAGTTCTAGTACAGGAGCTTTTGAGGAAATTCCATTACTTCAATCCTGCATACTCCGTAGTCTTTTAATTTTGAAGTATCATCATTTTTTTAATGCATCTAAGTACACATGCTGTTTACTATCTGTATTTAAGGTTGTAAATTCATTTCAATACAGAGCTGCTTCCAACTTCCATCACACACTTTCCCAATTGCCAAACCATGCATTATCACGCATGATCTGGAATCTGATACACTTTATTAATCAGTGATTACTGTTAGTTTAGGGTAGGTTGAGGACCACCCTTGCTGATCTAAGTTGCCTTCATGAAAATGTATTAATCTTCAAACCCTATCTTTAAACCTACATACATTTGTTCCTTTCAGGCTATCGACAGACATACATCAGATTATAATAATGGTCATGGTTGTCCTACAAATACAGTACCACAGGAAATAAATGTACAATTATATTTGGCCTTGTAGGGATAACAGTATCAAAATAATGATTATACACAAACCTTCTTGCCTACTGCTGTGAAACACTAGAATATCCGTAATGCCATCAGTGTGGGATTTGATTCTTGTCTGGTCCAATCCATTTGTCTTGTTGGCACGATAGATCGAGTTAAGCGCATGGTCAGTCCAGTAAATATAATCCTTGCACTGTGTTAAGGCAAAAGGCATGGGAAGACCTGACGCAACTACTCGACGGTTTGTTCCATCTAAGTTTGCACACTCAATAACCTGGTTCTCAATATCAACCCAGAAAATGAGCCCCAATGAATAGTCAATTGTCAAGCCAGTTGGACGTGTTACATTGGCAATCACGGTGTGTCTGTTAGAGCCATCCAAGTCAGCTCTTTCTATTGTAGGCTCCCTTCCTCCATTTGCCCAGTACATATGTCTGTAGTACAAATAAGAAAGACCTTAACCAAACCTGCCATTACACAAACAAAGCAGGTATTTGAGAACTACTCTAGTAGAAAACGTTGGAATGTTTTCAGTATTGCTAAAAACGTACCAATTTTCATATCATAAATTGAAAGGGTGGCTGGCACTGAATAAAATGCTAGATTCTTTATTCAAATAGACTTATGATCTTTTGTAAATATTAAGCGAAGAATTTCTGCGACATGAAGTCAGTAGTTGCGTAGGGCCTTCTTCAATGCACCCTCGACTTTCAATTGAACTTGGGCTCTTAGTTTCTTTTGGTGAAAGTTAACATCAAGGTCAGCAAAGCATGAAACTTGCAGACTGAGAATTGACCTTCATTATCACAACAGCAGCGCCGTAGCTAGTATGAGGCCAACCGAGGCACTCGCCTCGGTAAAATTTTGACGAATTTCGCCGATCATTTTTATTTTACATAAGCGATCATCGGATATTTTTAACGCATCATGATATTACAAAGAATTCAGCAATTCAGTCAATATACTATGAAAAAATTACCATATCATCGATCTCAAGGGGCTACGTACGTTAACTCAAATTTTTTTTGAACAAATACTGATCAAAACCATTGGCCAGGTTAACGGTCACCCAGATTATGTAGCTAGTTTCTGATTATTGCTTTTTAAATTCCACTTAAATTAACTCGAAAAAAAGTTACCGAAAGGCCCAGAAAACGCTGCAAATCGCATTTCCGAGAGACTAAAGTTCATGCATGCCCCCGAACCCCCCTAGCAACTCCCGCCTGCCTCGGTTGGCCGTTTGGTCTGGCTACGGCACTGAACAGTCTGGGAAATTTAACTTTAAATCTACGCTCTGTGTGGTTTCAAATTTGTGTCTTGAAAAAATTCAGCAAGAAACTCCGTAAAGGATTCATCGAGAAATTTTATTTGTCCTTTGCACGCCTACCCCGATACTGGATTGACAGCAAGTTCACGCGGCTTCCACAAGTCCCTCCAAATCAACATCTTCCTGTGCTGTCCATTAAGTCTTGCCACTTCTATTCTCTGGTGTTTAGAGTCTGTCCAGTACAGGTTTTTGGCTATCCAGTCCACAGCCAAACCATCAGGGTGAGGCAAGTCCACAACAATCAAGTGCTCAATTTGGCTTCCATTGAGGAAAGCTCTGTTTATAGACTTGAGGGATGTATCTGTCCAGTAGATTTGCATCTCCTGTACATTGAAGTCTAGAGCATTTGCCTCTTTGACACCAACCAATGGAATCACTGCATCATTATTGGTGTCCAGAGAGATTCTCCTGATATCTTTAGGATTTGAATACAACAGAAATGCTTCTGGCACTGTTGGGAATATACAGTGGCAACGCAATTAAGTATAAAAGTAGAGCTACGCCAATTACGAAAATCTGATAGTGTATCCATCCAAGAAATTTTGGCTGTAACGTGACCGTGAGACAAACAGACTGACTGCTTCATGTTATGGCATGTCATTTATTCCGAGACATCAACATGACACTGTTGATGAATTGTGGAAGACACGTGATATGGAATGTTCATTTTGTTTTTTTCCAAGCTGGGATAGCCTTCAACAGAGATTCTGGAGTCAGTTTATATAATTCTATCAGCCATCTGCACCTGATGAGTTCAAATGAGCAGTCTGTCTTGGAGCTGAATGCCTCGTTCTCGAGAGTTTTTTGTGTCATGTTGATGCCTTGAAAACTAATTTTTTTTAGGATCGCAGTATCAGCCTCGCTGCCTTGCTTGTTATTAAAGTGAAAACCGACGTTTCCAAGTCAGTTGACAGCTGTTAAAGTGGAGCATCCGCTGACCAGTAGCGGATGATCCTATCGCAAGCTGAGGTGCACTGCTCATCGATTTGAGGTATTTTTAGAAGAATTCCCCAGCACAAAACACGTTGATTATATAAATAACCCAAAAGGTTCCTCTTTAACCCTTTTCAGACCCTACCCCTCTATAAATTCAAAACCGTTCATGATACGGCCACTAATATTACACAAAATAATGTACTTATCATTTCCAACATTTAAACGTAGCTTGATTAACACAATGACATAATTTGACGTCATTCACGCCATATTGTTGAATTTACTGACAGAATCCAAATTCCCTTCAAAGTAGCCAATAGTAAGGTGTCTGATAAAATCAAGAGTTGGCTACTGAACACAATATTAAAATTTAATAATAGCAGTGATGACACGATGACGTCATTTAAGAAAGAACTAGACCCATCTGCTATTTTGGATTAGCAATTCTGAATTAATTTAATAAATGTATTTTATTTTGCTTAAAACTCATACAAATCGAGGTAATCGTGATAGGGAATTTTATCTGTGTATAAAAGGATGCTTAGGAAGCAAAAGAAACTATAAGGTATGAACTTCGGAAAGAAAATTGAACTTACTGTCATTTGCGGGTCATTTTAATTCATACTTTTCCCAAATTAGTCACCAAATACCCTGGAAAACAGTAGCAGTTATAATAAATTTGATATAATAATGCTAAATTTAGTGTAATATAGGAATTCAATAAGTAAAATAGAAATAAAACCGAAAAAATGCGAATTGAAAAAAATTAAACATGGTTGTCAAAATTCGGTTGTTGACGTAGACGTCACGACCATTTTAAAATGTCCCCAGTTAAATTTCATGAAAAGTCGCTAAATTTGGAGGTCATAGCTTGAACGGTTTTGAAGTTATTTAACTTTTTAACAAGGGAGGGACCTCAAGCCCCCCTGTTCTGAATATGGTTAAATCTTTTAATTCAAAGATTTTTTCTGTTCAGGTCATGCTTGCGTATGCACCTCTTTTGTCTTTTTCAAGCTTGTTTTCTTTTCAGTATCATTCTGATTCCTCTCTCCATCACATTTTCGAATCTCCAAATTTTAGGTTTCTTTTTCGCAAGAAAAGTAGCCTAACCTGGGCAGTGAAATGTGAAAAATTAAACTTCAGAAAATCGTAGGAAATTTATTAGGTTGATTTAGAATTTTTTAGTCGTCCTCAAGCTATAGAAAATTCTAGGCAATATCTGCTTCTGATCGAACAGATATTTTACAGAAAACCGTCGTTGGGTGCCCCTCATTAAGGTAGAGAGAATGATATTCTTCAACTTCCGGTGTAACACTTTAGTGACCATTAGTTGTGTGACTTGTTTGACGTGCCCAAAATTTTTGCGCCGACTCTTTACAGTTGAGGAGACAACAAGTTCTCGATTCTCGAAGATACCTGTATTAAATCTTAGGTACCAAACGACTTAGGTTGGACGATTTTCACCAAAGGAATGCACATAAACATTCCAGAGTTACTGATTCTTTGAATATTCAAATTGGTCAAGATATCGGACTGCTGGTCACTTAGTAGCCTCCCACGCAGACGAGAGGTAGGGGATTACTTGCATACGTCACTTAATTAGTGTTTCTGGTCAGCATTCGATGAAAAACTAAATGTAACAGAACACGGTTTCGTTTTCTGAACCCAGCGTGGATCAAGCGCTAGACTTCAGATCTGTATAGCATTTCAGGATCGATTGAATTTTCTTAATCGATATATGATACAGTTTGGATCGGCTAGGATTCTTTGAATTGTTATTTTTTTTAAAAAATATCGGACTGCTGGTCATTTAGTGTTTTGAAAAGCTTGATCGGCTACCGGCCATAAAGACAAAGGCATATATTTTTATACTTACCTTATGTTTTTTTTCTTTGCGGGGCAAACCATTTGACTTACCTTGTATTCCGGCGTCTTCGGGAGCCTTCGATGGTAAAACCGACCGCAATTGAGAGGCGTCTTTTGTGGTAGAGATTTGAGTCTCCACTGTTGTAACAAACAGCATAAACAGTAAAGTCCTCATGGTTCACGGATGTTATTGCCTGTATTGCAGCGAAGAAAATTTAACACTCGCAGGCTATCCTTGACTCACCTATACCATAAGATTATACAATTTATACTCTCGTGACCTTTCGATCTGGGGCGTTTTTCGTTTGTAGCTTCAGACTGATCCGTCTAAAACGGACTGCAAACGTATTAACGACAGCGGTAGCCTGCGAGCAAGCCCTATTTGGGCGAGTGAAGCGAGTCTCGCGAGAACGCGCGTTCTCGCGAGTGTCGCTTCGCTTGCCCAAATAGGAGAGCTTGCTCGCAGGCTACGACAGCGGAATCCGGAAATTGGTGTCACGTTGAGATCACTTCCCGAGGGAGCTTAGAAATCAGGCTGAGATCAGCAACCAAGCCTTTCCGATTTGTTTTCGTCATTTCTGAGCCCGTTTGCAAAACGTTCAGCCGGCTTCCAACGCAAGGAAATAATTTTAAAAAGCCGTACCCTCCTCGGCCCGTAAATTTACCGCACTTTTTTTGGGCCCGTATCTGTATTGTAGGTAACGAGAATTTTTTTCTATGAGGCGAATTTAGGGAGATTTTTTTGCTATATTTATTTTAGCGATTTCTAACATCATCACTGACTTTTCTAAGAGTAAAAATTCAAGCGTTTTATATTGCTATCTGATTTAAGACGTCATCAGTTTCAATAGATTTCAAAAATTTCAAAAGATTAGAAAAGGACGATCTCACAAGTTCAGCATGTTTTTTTTTTCAAACCCCTTTGGTTTCGATTCATTGCGGTGTTCGCAGTACAGTAGTAGTATTCACAGTATTGTGGTTTTCTCTCGTGGCCTCTTAGCTTAGCTCTTCATCATCGTTTTCTCCAATTCATGTAACAGAAGGTTAATAGTATTCCATAACAATACATCTTTTTCATACTTATCGACAGTTTACTGTAAAACAGAGTGAGGTATTTAAGAATATCCATCACATAACTATTACAATAACAAAGTTTATTAAGTGTTCCCTTAAGTGAACCTCTTTCGTACGTTTCTAAGTTACCGGCCCGTACTTACGTAGGATAGAAATTTACGAGAGTGCTATAACTAAGTGTGTTTTATGCAACACCGTTTAGTTTACCCATTACGTAAAATAAAAGAGCACTTTAGTGGAGGATTTCTGCAACCGGGCCCTACAGCGGTTGCTACATAAGACTGGTTTTCCACCCAACTATTTTTCAGACTCTATACATAGCTTTACTATCCAAGAAACTGTGTTGAAGACTTCGAGTGTGGGGTCTATGTAGGGTAGATGTGGGGTCGATGTAGGGTCGATGTAGGGTCCATGTGGAGTCGATGTGGTGGAGGGAAAATAAAAATAGTGAAAAAAAGACTTAATTTGCCTTCGCCCTCATTATATGCACGATTTGGGCGAGGCTCGACTGTATTTTCTAATCAACCAATCGAAAACCAAGACAATTACCGACTTAAAGGTAACTAAAAAACCTGTCAGCCCGGTTAAACCACTTTAAAAATAGCACAAGACCTTATCTTAATGAGAATCCATCGCATTTTATTCATGCGATTAAGACAAAAACCTGAAGACGTCACTGGCGTTAATGTATTCCTGACCGCACGCTAATGAAAAGAAGCCTGATTGCATTACACACGGAAGCCAGGCAATTTTTTCCTTGGCACTGATTTCAGTTTCTCGCCTTTTTTCTTTTAAATGTAAACAGAAAATGATCATCCACTTTGGCATAGGTAGCGATGCGTCAGTATAAATCCTCCCTTTTTATTGGCATATTGACTGCTTCGGGTTCTGCGTCACAAAACTCAGTACAGGAACGAACAGCCAGGTATGGGGGTTAAGTAGCTGTGATTTTCCCTCCTTCTGAGCACTCTAAAGGCACAATATATGTCACCACCCTTGGTTATTTTTTTTGCCATTTGCAAGAGTTGCTTACATTTGTAAACCTTCTGTTATTATAGACAGTTAATGTCTTTCCTTATCTAGCCTGCGTAGCTGGCGGTATTGTGTACTAGTCGAGTGAGATTTGGCGACGGAGCCGCCACGTGCGGTGAAGCCGCTAGACGCCTCGTCCCTACTCCCTTTTTGGGTCACAGCTCCGCCGCCAAAACTTTAATCGCGCACCTACACAATACCGCCAGCTACGCAGGCTATACCTTATCGTACTTTCTTTGTATCGGTTATTTATGTACAAGGAAAAAAATTACGAACAACCGTGTTTGTACCCTTTCTCCTGAGCTCTTTTTCGAAAGGAAACTATTTCCTCGCTCAATTGGCTCCTTTTTACAAAATTAAATCCTCCAGCGGGAGCGGTAAGTAGAAGTAGTGTTAACGGCCCTAGAGTCAAGAGTTAAAGCTGGATTCCAGTGGAAAAACGCTTTTCCCTAAATCGTTGCTGTAAAATAATAATGAAATACAGGAAAATAAAAGTAATGAGTTTTCGAAGCAAGTATGCGAGGGAAAAACTGCATAGGTTCAAAATCGTGCTCTTGAATCCAAGAGTTGAGTAGCACATAACGCTTAACACTCACTAAGGGACGGACCATTAGAGATGAGAAGACGGGATCAAATACAAAAAATAAATATTCGCGTAAGAGAAAACCTTATGAAAAAAAATCATGCGCTCCGAGTAGCCTTAAAAAAATCAATACTCCTGCACTGGCCTAAAATAATTAATTCATGCAAAAGAAATGATAACGAAAAAAAAAACATGCGGCTCGAAATTCTCCACCCCACCAATAGAAATGCACTACCCGGATAAGGCAAGTGGGTGAAGAATTATCAATATGCATGCCTGATGCTCTTTTCATTACTATTTCTATTTATAATGAACAGAGGATGGGTTAATTGATCGAAGGGGAAAGCCACTTCCATTTTCGGAACAAAGGTCACAAAAGTTGTTATTTTTTGGCTTTGTTATGTCTAGGCCTTTTCCGGGTTTCATATTTGTTCTTAGCTTCTGGTTTTATTCCTCTTTCTTTCCATATTGCTTACTGTGTAGCATATGTGATGAATAGCCCGGGATATTTCCCTCTAAGCGCTTAACAAGCATCACTTGTAACTGTACTTCAAGATCTCTAGAATTGCAGCATGTACCGGAAAAGATAAGCTAATGGCGGGTAGCTAAAATATATAATTGAGCTCAAGGACTAACACCTTTATTCCTGAAAATTCAGTTATTATTTACTTACATACTATGAAAAAAAACGAAGGGAACATATTTTACAGGCATCCAACGAATGTTTTGAGTGTAAAATATCTATTCGAAGAAGCAAAGAATTACAGTGTCTCGAAATATCTTTAACACGAAATCGTGAGGCATTCACCTAAGCCATTTTTGGCAATTTTCTGGAAATTTACTCACTGCATGATTTTCGAAGATTGGTTTATTCAGATTTCCCTCCCAAATATTTGCAATGAAACCCTATAATTCAGTTTTGCCTCCCCTGATATCTTCTGATTAAAGATCACAAGTGCCTTTTAACATTTCGATACTCGAAAAATCTAGAGACTAGTGTAGTTTGTGTTGTAACGTTATATCGGTGATTGCGACACTTCAAGAGGTATAGTGTTGTGAAGCGAAATTCTACCTATTTTGGTTTTCCTTTCAATTATAGATGAACTTGAGATTGTGCTAAGTTGGCATGTTTATTTTACATTGTAAAGTTAATAACTTTGACCTACCTAACCTCCAGATCTGTATAGGTTTTGAGAATGTCGATAAGAATTAAACCGTTTTGAGACAAGCACCTTTTTTTTTTCTGCAGCCGGATTTGACGCGAAAAGGGGTTTAATATGTGCAAAGCATTATTAACTGTCATGTCATCTATTTAAGATACTTGAAGTGTGTGCAGACATCATGCCTATTTCCTTGGTTGCACGTGGACGACGTTGGCGTTCTATTTCGATGGAGTATAAAGCTGAAGGGCTCCGGGGGTGTAATAATTGGTTTGTTTTTGTTTTTCCGTTGTTCTGTTAGGGCTACTGGGGCTACGTTTGCTAAACATAATATTTAGCTGTGTACTTCCTTTGGATTTTTTTGTAACTCAGAGTTCACGGCTATTAGAAGACGAAATACCTGCTGGAATTCTGACTTAAACCGAATGGAAGAAATGCAAGAATACACAAAACGTTGCTCAATGGATGCTATCTACTTTAAGACGAGTATCTCCAAGCATTGTGAATAAGTTGTTCTGCACAACTTCCTTAGGCAAAATGGCTTTAAATTTCGGTGTCCCTTGCTTAGTTCTTGCGTGCAACTCTACCCACAACTCCATCTCGTCACTACCGTATGTGGTTTTACACGAAAGGCAGACTGTTCTCTGTCACTTATTTTTCCGTGTGATTGTCGAGAATGATCATCGAGGGAGAGGGTCGTCGCCGCCTATTTCCTTTTCGTAAACGGTCTTTGCCATTTTTAATAGTCGATGCCACCATTAGTAACCAAGCCTTTAATCATGATAGATGTAATATACTCCCTGGATTAAGTTACAAAAAGGCAAAAAACACGTTTTCGAATAGTGTTAGAAAGAACGACGTTGGAGTCCAAATTGAATTTTCGTTAAAATTTACGAAAAGGGCAAGGATCACCTGTTATTGAAGTAACAGTTAAGAAAGACAGTTTGTTAGTGGATTTACTTTTAGTAAAATCCAGCTATTGGTCTATTATCAATGCTGCGTTCTGATTGGTTGAGCTACTACTAGGGTAAATAATATGTTATAGCCCACTAGTAGTGAAAAGCGTGGGCTTTTTGGCGGCAAAAAAGGATTAAAGTCGAGCTTTTACCAAGCTTCATTTTTTTATTCTCGATATTTTTGACCAACTAGTTGGATTTTACTAAAACAATTATTCCTCTCGCCCTCATGGTCTCTGAGTCAATAGCCCATTTGGCATTCGGCCTCATGGGCTATTGACTCAGAGCCCATTCGGGCTCGAGGAATAATTGTTAAAAATTCTTGGAAATTTTGGCGGGTCGGTGCGGTAGTGTTGTGATAAGGGAGAGA